TTTGAAATGGGAAGATTTTAAAGTTACGGAGGGAGTACTACATATTTCTTAATGACATGCACTACTTCGTATTTTTTTTGAGAGGAGCACTACTTCGTATTTTAGCCCACCAATTGAAATTCTTCTTTTACCAATGCATTTTTTAATACTCTTCGCATTCCAATTTTTTGAGTGTTTTTGCATTTTTCTGCCGTTGCAGTTGTTACGTTTATCAAAATAAAGTTCACACCTTAAATTATTGTTGTAACTTATGAATTAAAAATTGCTTCTAAATAGCAATTTTTGAAATCTGTTAACAATTTTTGAATCAACTACGAATTGAAAGAACTTTAAAATCTGAGATATAAACTTTTAATTATTACTTTAGAAGCAATTTTTAATTCATAAGTTACAACAATAATTTAAAATTGCTTATAATTAAAATTGTTAACAGATTTTAAAAAATACACGAATGCGTAAAAATGGGCATAATATGGTTCGAAGATCTAGATAGAATAACTTATAAAATAAGTGAGATCTGTAAATTAACTTATAAAATGAGTTCACTTTTATTTTAAAATCTGTTAACAATTTTTGAATCAACTACGAATTGTGATATTCACACAATAAATTGTTACTCACAAGCTTTTCTAATATTCCGTAATATTTACTTATCATATTAATTTTTTAAGTTTTTTGCTTAGATTTTAAATTTCATAACCAAACAATTTTTAGTCTGAAGATTATCAGATTTTTCATAATAATTTGGTAATTCTGAAAGTGGTTAAATGTGTTGAAGTTGGAAACATTATATTTGATTTTTTAAATAAAAAATGAATACACAAAAAATGTTCCATTCCACCAAAAAGAGCTAGAGAAGCGTGCAAGAAGGAAGAGAGAATATGTTTCCAAGACATTGAAAGCAACAAATTATTAATGTTGCATTATAACTATGTCCTCCAAATTATTAATTAAACAATACATACGTTGCTCAATGTTCCTGATTATAGCTTCCCTCGAAAAACTAATATGGAGTAAATCTAAAATCTAATTATAGTTGTCCTTTGGCCTCCCTGCTAAAGCATACTACGTATTTATTTATATAAATACGGGTCTAAGGGATTTAACAATCTACCAGACTCCAAAATTGTAATAAAGCTTCTAAGAAGTAACACGTACAAGATTGAAATGAAATGTGAGTATTCCCGGGCAGTCATACATACGCAATAAGGTTTGAGGAATAGGGGTTAAAAGTGATAGTTTGGTCGATTTCAGATCAAATAAATTAGAGCCTCATGCATTGAAGCGATGATTGCTTGGGTGTTTTTTTATTAGTTTGATAGTTGTAGGGAGGTTGACAATGAAGGGCAGCCGAGAAGGAGAGAGACAAGGGAAACGGGTTGAAGAAGCTAGACATAAAGTGATATGGAAATCTTTATGGGATGGGAAAAAGAATTGTTCAAGAGATGATAATGGATTTTTTACTTCTTCGATGCTTCCACGATCAAAGCTCGAAGGAACAAATGATGGTTATCAAGAAGTACCACAAAATATTTAAATTTATTCATTTTAATTTACGTTGATCGAATAACATGGTTTTGTTTGTGGTCGCTGAATTGATCATTGTAAAAGTTTTGATGTATCATTTTGAATTTCAATTTTTTGTTTTAATTACTACAATATTATCTGTTTCAGCCGTGCATCGCACGGGTGAGAATACTAGTTGTTTAAAACAAAAGGGCCACACAGGGCTATTCATGAGCACGCAGGCTCTAAAGTAAAATATCCATGAGCAAATTTATTAATGTTTCAAATAGAATGGAGGAAGCACGAACCAAGTCTTCTCTCCTAGGGATCACTCGATCAACGAGCACAGGATGCAAGCTCTAGCCTCAACCTGAAATGGGTGTGGGACGCTCCCGAAGGGGTCAGTACTCTATACGGCTATAAAGTACTGGTGTGACAGACATCTAATATATATACAACAAGTATTTCACACACAAGACCCTCAAATAGGGTGATAGTATAGTTTTGGCTGTAATCCCAAATTACCCCTTCAAAATATATACTTACTTTATATAAGTCAAGTAGTCGGCTCAAAGCCCCATGTTTATCACAAAACATTTCCCAAACCCCGTGACTAATAGTCACGACATACATAGGGTCCAACCCTAATATAACTTCTCATTTCTAGAATTCGGCTCGAGTACATCATCGTGCACTCGCATCATAGATCTCCTACTTCATGTAATCATATCATAGATCTCCTACTGCATGTATTCACCCCATAGATCTCCTACTTCATACAATAACACCATAGATCTCCTACTTCATACAATCACACCAATTGACACTTGAATCTCATTCAAGTTCATCACAAACAAACTCAAACCTTAAGTTTGATTCTAACACATTTAGGACAATCCTTAACTAGCATCACAATACTATTAAGATTATTCCTACAACTCATTTATCATTAATGGTAGCTCCTCCATATCAATAGATATGTGGCAGCCTCCCATGTGTCAAGCATCATCATGCAATCATACATTTACATACACATCACATTCATACATTAGTTGGAAAGGTCAATTTACCATATTAGCATACCTCTATCTCACATGACTCCATATTCATCAATATGGTTTCAATTCATGATCAAGTCCATTACTTATCATTCATATCATGTTCAAGCATATTTATTCACAAAAAACATGATTTAAGCATTTAGGTAATCTCATGCATAACCTACAAGTTGTAAGCAACTAGATGTCGGTCCTCACCTCAAATGAGCTTTAAAACCTTCCTTCTCGATCCAACGACCAAAGCCTCGGCCAAGAAGGTTTGAGAACTGATTCCTTGCTTGGAATTGAGTGTTAAACAGCCCCCTCAAAGTGCTAGTTCAACTCCTAACCGAAGACACAAAAACGGTCCCTAGAACGGGTGTTTCCCGACGAATTCGTTCCCTAACCTTTCAAGGTTTTGTTTAGGTTAGTATCTAACCTTTCCAACAATTAAAGTCACTTTATAATAACATTTTATACACTTCAATCAGTGTATAATAGTTCTTCAATCATTTATATGATTTAGACAATAGAGAGGAAGGTTTTGGATTCAAACTTACTTTGAATACAAAAACGTATTCCGCGAGGTTGTGTTTTTCTCGGACGATTTGGAAGCCTTACACTACTCCGATTGATGCAAACCAAAGCTTCACGGATTCCTCCTCTTGAGAGCTTTCTGATGGTATCTCGCACTCCTTATTTGGATGTGTATAACTCGAGATATGAAGCAAACAAGTAATCTTACGCACTGGAAAAACTACCTGCGGACAGCCCTCTTCCTTCCTTCTCTCTTGAGTTGTGTGGACTCCCTTTGCTCTCTTATCTCTTTGGGGGTTCGAATGGGGTGTAGGGGGAGTGTATTACGAGGCCTCAATCATGCTAAGAGAGCATGTGGTTCACAAAAAGAAGAGTAGGGTAATTGATTGCAATCAAACATGGTGTGGACCTCCTCTTTAATTTCTTTTTTGTAATGTTGTAGCTCATGAGTCAAAAAGTCCGCCCCACATAGTTGTCTCACCCATTTTTCTTTGTCTTGTAGGTACTAATATCATGTGGAGTGGTTCCCAATTGATCCCAATCATTTTGGGGTCCAAAATATCTATCAATACTTCCAAAAATGGGAAGATGGGTCCTATAGTTTTATCTTTTGTCAAAGATGTCTTTTTGTACTCATCCTAATTTATTTAGAACAAGTCAACTTCCTTCATCACATTATTGATCTCCCATATGTGTAGGTTCATCACAATAATTTACTTGATGGATATCATAGCAGAAAAATCCTACTCCCATTATTTAGCTCAATAATGCCAAAGATGGGGTTATAGGCATTTGTATTCTTCTTTAATTATTCTATCACTTATTTGACATTTGTCATACATGTTATAGGGCTACTAGCCGTGTGGGTCACTCCCGAGTGGGTCTAGAACGCCATTCTCGAATACTTGCTATTTTTAGCAGGTTGGGCCCAAAATAATGTTTGGGCCGCCCGACCTTCCTCGACTTGTCTTGAAAGATCACGTAACACTATTTAGAAATTTTGGGCTCTTATGTTCATTAATGAGGCCCGAATAAGTATTTGCAAAACCCGACACTAATATATGAGTTTGAACAGTACGATATTCAATCATGCACTACGTAAACATTAATCGTTTTACAATTGTTTGGGAATCAGAAATCCAATACATAAACTTTGAATATTTAAATCAAATCTCCAAGGACATTCGGGTGTGGTGTCACAGACGCCCCATCTCGTGAATGGACGGGCGGTGCTGATCGGTGTGTACATCGTTGCTGGTCGGCCGGGGCTCCTCTGGAACTTCTGACATGTCTCACACCTCCTTGCATAGTCAGCACAGTCTCGCATTATCGTCGGCCAGAAGTATCCCTGGAAGACGACCTTCCTAGCAATTGTGCATGCTCCCTGGTGGGCGGACTGTGGAGCACACTCTCCCATGGAGTTCGGGGATGATCACGTCCGCTTCATGCGGGCGCAAACACTTTAGCAGGGTCCCATTGTAGGACCTCATGTATAGCTTCCCGTCCAAGATGACATAGCCCGGAGCTCGTCAGCGGACTAGCCTTGATTCATCTTCTCTATCAAGCAGCGTCCCATCGGGTATGTGATAGGCTCGTTCCGTGCCTATCTTTTCAACCATATTTTGGGTGTTAACTGTCTAATTTTTATAATTAATCGGGTGACTATTGGGGATTTTGAGTAAAAATTTGCTAGTTTTTGGTCCCGGTGGCATTCATATTCAGTATAGTATTTTTCTACACAATTTAACGTTTTTGGAGTAATTTGATTGTAAAGTTACATGTATTAGCGAGTGTGGTGAGTTGTTATTGTATAGGCCGAGTTTGCGTGAATAATTACATTATGTTTGGACTGGATCATTGGCGGTTTGCTTTAGAAGTTATCAAGTGCAATCCAAAGGAAAAAAAAAGGAACGAGCAGCCCAAAAAGTAAAAAAAAAAAAAAAACCGCAGCACCGTTCTTTTTACTTGGCAGCAGCCGCACCATGAGTGGGGATTTTGGTTCTTTTCTGTTTGGAGAAATCAGCCGCAGGAGTAGTTTTGCTCAATTCGTTCTGCTCTGTCAATTCGCCGCACCAGCAGCAATCAAGAAGAAAGTAGCAGCAATTTTTCTTTTCTTCTTTACTCCTGGAATTAGCCGCAGCAGTAACAAAAGCTAAGGAACTTCTTTTTCATTCAATTTATTTAAATTCAATTTAGCTTTTGAGCAAGAATTGTAAGTGTTAGCAGTTTTTACATTACTAGTTCTTAATTTTGAAGTGAATTTCGAATCTCTCTGTCTCAAATTAACAATTTAAGAATTTTCCATTTCAAACTCATAATTCCGTTTTTTTTGTTTCTAGTTCCTTTACCATGTTTATCAATGTTATTGTGATGTTAATTTTAATCATGAGTAACTAATTCCATATAGGGTTTGAATTGGGGCCAGGGTTCATGAGTTCTTGAGGGCATGAATTCAGTTTTTCTGAAATTCAATTAATTTCTGGAAAATTGTATAAGATTAATCATAATTGCCTATATGAATTTGATCACCTCATATATGGATTTCTGGATTTAATTCAACTCTTGTCTATGAGAAATTGAGTTAAATTAGCTCGGATCTTATACAAGCAATCTGATCTTAGAAATAAGTTAGGATTGTGATAATATGATTTTGCTCTTGTCTATGAGAAGTGATTTCATTTTCTGTCCAGGAATAATTGAATATTAATTTACTTGATTCTAATCCCGAAAGAACACCCAGAACCCGAACCATCCAATTTGAACCCTGTTTTTAATATCCTGAATCAATTTATTTTTTTTATTTATTTTTGCACTTGCTGTTAGTTAATTTTTTTTTTAATCACCCAAAAAAAAAATTATTCGGAAAGATTACCATGACTTGTGCTAGCCTGTGATCACAGATTGTATTTAAAACTTCCTTTTTGCCACTCCTTGAGAGACGATACTCGTGGTCTGGTTATTCTTCGGATTAGCCAACTACGTTTTACTCACTAAAAAATTACACCGATCAAATGGCGCCGTTGCCGGGGAGTGGCACGGTTGTTTGTTAAGTACTTTCTGTGGAATAGGTAAAAGCAAGTCGGTGAGACTTTCTATTTTTTTTCCTGTTATTTGTTTGTCGTTTTTTGTGTTCTTTGCACGTGAACTAAGCTGCAGGAACCGGTGTATGCACACACGTGCTCGGGGAACTGAAGGCTTGATCCCATTGAATCCAAACCCCGAGAGTATTTTGAGAAGAAGAAAAGGAAGGTCAAGAAACATGGCCGGAGAACAACAGCCCGCAAGGAGGACAATGTATGAACAAATTACTCCGCAATTTGCAGAGGTTGATGGAATAACCATGCCGGGCATTGAAGCTGCAAATTACCAACTATCTCCCGGATTAATCAATCTAGCCCAGAGTAACCAGTTCGGAGGGATGAGACATGAAGACGCCCAGACACATATGCGTTGGTTCAACCGTCTCTGTCGGACTTCCCGAATCAATGGAGTTTCTGAAGCAGCTAACAAACTACTTTTGTTCCCATTCACTCTAAGGGACAAGGCGCAACACTGGCTCGATAGCCACACTTTTGCCACCTGGGATGAATTATACCAAGCTTTCATGAAACAGTACTGCCCAGCATCCGCAGGAATCAAAGCCAAGGCAGCCCTCCAGAACTTTAGGCAAGGGAGGAACGAGACATTGAGTGAGGCATGGGAGCGGTACAAGGAGCTCCGAATTAACTGTCCATCCAACATCATGGAGAGCATGGACACCATATTTCACTTCTACAATGGGCTGTCCATTGAGAGCAAAAAGGAGTTGGATTACTCTTCTAAAACAGGTTCAATCCTAAGGCTGACATCAGGATAAGGTGAAGAACTGATAGAGACTATTACCTCAAATGAGAGGTACTGGTATGATGAGCGAAGTGAAAGAGCTCCACAGAAGGCAGGATTATATGAGGTTGATTCTAGTACAGCTGCTGCCGCAAAATTGGATGCTCTTGTCCTAAAGTTTGAGAAACTCTATGAAGCTCAGGCGCAGAACAGATACCAAGGTGGCCAGGGGATGAACCAGAGGAGTGTTCGATCAATGCCAAACCAGAATCCAGTGAGAGACATGGTGCTTTCGTGTGATCATTGTTTCGGAGCCCACCTGACCAATTCATTTCCTCAATTCTTTGAAGAGCCCATTTCACCTCTAGAAGTAAATCTTATGGAATATGCTAAGAAAGGAGAGGGTCCACTAGCACCTCAATACCAAGGAAACCGAGGTAACTTAGCTGGCTACAACAACCAGAGGAATAATTTTCAGAGTGGTGCAAACCAGTGGAGAGATAATAACCGCCAAGGTGGGTACCAACGAGGCCAAGGAAGTGGCAGCAATCAGCCTTATGTGCCCCCACATATCAGACAACAAGATAATTCAGCTCATTCCCAACTAGATTTGGTGCTTGCAGAGCTGACACGGGCTAGAGAGGAAAATGAATTAAGAGATAAAAGGGCAAGAGAGGAAAAGATATTGATGGAGCAGCGGTTGAGGAACCTTGAGCTGCAACATGAGCAACGAATGCGGGAACTAGAGAACAGATTCTTTGGAGGTCCTTCTGGGAGGCAGTCTGGAAGCCTTCCCAGCACTACAGAGCCAAACCCAAGAGAGCATGTGAATGCAATAAATCTGCGCAGCGGGAAGCAAGTTCCTGAACCAATGGTGGATGCGAAGGAGAGCCAAGCCAAGAATGTTCCTAGCTGTCCAGGAAAGAGTGCAGAGCCAGTCAATGTCCCAAAACCTATTCAAAGACAATCTGAAGATGAACTAGAGTTCAATTCTGAACAGCCAGGCCAGAGAGAGGGCAAGGCAATCATCGAGCCGAATACACTTCAACAAGAGGCCAAGAGGGCTAATGCACCGGTTGTTCCATTCCCTGCTCGTGTCAAGAAGGGCGAGGACCGCAAGAGAGAATACAAGTTTATGGAGATGATTCGCAAACTACATGTGGATATGCCACTCACAGAAGTACTTGCGGAGATGCCTAAATATGCAAGGTTGCTGAAGGACTTAATCACCAACAAAAAGAGGCTGGAGGAGTACTCTGTGGTTGACCTAAATGCTGAGTGTTTAGCTGTGGTGACAAAAATGATGCCGGAAAAGCTCAAGGATCCAGGTTCTTTCACCATACCTTGTTCCATTCATGATTATGTTTTTAAAAATGCACTAGCTGATCTAGGAGCCAGCATCAACTTGATGCCATCTTCTCTTGTTAATAAGTTGGAACTGGGTGGAATGAAACCCACTAGGATGTGTCTTCAATTAGCTGATCGCTCTGTTAAGTACCCAAGTGGTATTATTGAGGACGTCCTAGTTAGGGTTGGTGAGTTTATTTTTCCTGTAGACTTTGTCGTTATGGATATAGAGGAGGATCGTGGTACCCCTCTTATTTTGGGGCGGCCTTTCTTGGCCACTGCCAGTGCTGTTATTGATGTGTTTGATGGTTCATTGACTCTGAGAATTGGAGAGGACACTTGTACTTTTCGACTCTCAGAAGTTATGAACCACCCCGAGGCACAAACTGAGAGCTGTAATTTTCTTCATATGTATGAGTGCATTGAGGATTATTTATTTGGGGGCCAGGGTGAGAGTGATTATTTTGATGATACTGCATGTGGTGAGGTCTTAGATGTGGGTATGTGTGATGATGAAATGTTATCTCATGAACTTAAATGCTCTGTTGATGATTTGCTAGGAGAAGCCTCTCAAGAGGTTTCAGGTAGTACTGTTGTTGATACACCCCCATGTGAGCAGTTTTCTGAGCTTAAAAGGCTCCCAGAACACCTACAGTACGCTTCATTGGATGATGAGGGCAAACACCCCATTATCATTGCTTCTGATTTAGAGAGAGATGAAAAAGATAAGGTTGTGTCCTTGCTTAGGCGGCGTGAAGGGGCCATTGCCCGCACGCTGGGGGATATTAAGGGGATCGATCCTACCTTTTGCACACATAAGATTAGCATTGAGGAAGGGTTCAGCCCGACAGTGCAACCACTGCGCAGGTTGAACCCTAATTTGATGGAGGTTGTGAGAACCGAGATATTGAGGCTTTTAGATGCAGACATTATATACCCAATTTCTGATAGTAGTTGGGTGAGTCCTATTCATATGGTTCCTAAGAAAGGGGGAATGACTGCTGTAGAGAATGACAAAGGGGAGTTAATACCTACTCGCATTGTGTCAGGGTGGCGGATGGTGATTGATTACCGAAAACTAAATGATGCCACCCGGAAGGACCACTTCCCTTTGCCATTTATTGATCAGCTAGTTGAGAATTTAGCAGGGCATGGGTATTATTGTTTCTTAGATGGGATGAGTGGGTACTTTCAGATTCACGTAGATCCTAGAGATCAGGAGAAGACCACTTTTACTTGTCCCTTTGGCACTTTTGCTTTCCGTAGGATGCCCTTCGGTTTGTGTAATGCTCCTGCTACATTTATGCGTTGTATGTTAGCCATTTTTGACAGGTTTATTGGCGATTTCATGGAAGTATTTATGGATGATTTTTCTTTGTTCGGTGATACTTTTGACTCTTGCTTAGCTAACCTTGACAGGGTGCTTGCTAGATGTGAGGAGACCCACTTGGCCTTAAGTTGGGAGAAATGCCACTTTATGGTCAGGGAGGGTATTGTTTTAGGGCATAAGGTTTCTGAAAAGGGAATTGAGGTTGATAAGGCGAAGGTTGGGGCTATAGAGAAACTTCTGTATCCAACCACAGTAAAAGCCATCCGTAGCTTTCTTGGGCACGCTGGCTTTTACCACCGGTTCATACAGGATTTCTCTAAGATTGCCCGACCTTTGACTAATCTTTTAGGGAAAGATGTACCTTTTGATTTTTCACCTGATTGTGTTGTTGCCTTTGATACTTTGAAAAGGAAATTGACTGAGGCTCCCATTCTTGCTACACCCGATTGGTCTTTACCTTTCGAGATAATGTGTGATGCTAGCGATCAAGTGGTTAGGGCTATCCTGGGTCAAACCAAGGATAAGCACTTTCGCCCTATCTACTATGCCAGTAAGACTTTAGTGGGGCCTCAGCTCAATTATACCACTACTGAAAAAGAGTTTTTGGCTATTGTGTTTGCTTTGGAGAAATTTAGACCCTACATCATTCTTTCTAAGGTAATTGTCTTCACTGACCATGCGGCTTTGAGGTATTTACTTCAGAAGAATGATGCAAGGCCTAGGCTTCTCCGCTGGATTCTTTTGTTGCAGGAATTCTATGTGGAGATCAAAGACCGAAAGGGGACCGCTAACCAAGCAGCAGATCATCTATCTAGACTAGAGACTGAAGTGGTGGAGACATTCAAAAAGTTTGAGCTTGAAGAGACTTTTCCAGATGAGAGGCTTCTAGCCATTCAGCACAGTTCAAAGATGCCTTGGTATGCAGATCTCGCTAACTTTCTTGTGGGCAAAGTTGAACCTGCCGGGATGTCTCGCCACACGATTAAGAGATTGAAGTCTGAAGCCAAGCATTACTTCTGGGATGATCCATACCTGTTCAAAATTTGTGCTGACCAAGTTGTGAGAAGATGTGTACCTGAACAAGAAGGAAAGGAGATTCTAATGCATTGTCATACTGGACCCACGGGAGGTCACTTCTCAGGAGAGAGGACCGCCAGGAAAGTTCTTGATTGTGGATTCTATTGGCCCACCATTTTTAAGGATGTTCATGCTTATGCTTCAGCTTGCGATCAGTGCCAGAGGACTGGGAACATATCCCGAAGGGATGAAATGCCACAACACTATATTTTGCCATGTGAAGTGTTCGATGTGTGGGGAATTGATTTCATGGGCCCTTTCCCGAGTTCGAAAGGAAATAGTGGAGGTCGAGCATAAGGCATTTTGGGCTCTGAAGAATGTTGTATTTGACCTTGAAGGGGCTGGAAAGGAGAGATTTTATCAGCTGAATGAGCTTGAAGAGTGGCGTGCTATGGCCTTCCACAACAACCATTTGTATAAGGAGCGAGTGAAGCAATATCATGATAGGCACATCAAGCAATCCCGCGAGTTTAGAGTTGGAGATCAGGTGCTGCTGTATAATTCTAGGTTGAAGTTGTTCCCTGGGAAACTGCGTTCCAGATGGTCAGGGCCATTTACTGTGACTGAGGTCTATCCGTATGGCACCATTGAGTTGCATGATCCTGAAAAGGGAAACTTTAAGGTTAATGGTCATCAAGTGAAGCTCTATTATGGTGAGAAAGTGAGCACTGAAAGGGAGGTTCTTTATCTTAAGGAGATTAGCGGTTGAGCATGATCTAACGTCAAGCTAATGACGTTAAAGAAGCGCTTCTGGGAGGCAACCCACCAGAAAAAAAAGGAAAAAAAAAAAGAAAAAGAAAAAAAAAGAAAAAAAAGAATTAGGAGTTTGTTATTTCTTGTTTCTGCATTTTTTTCCCCATTATTTTTGTGATTTCTTCTTGTGGTTGTGCGGTTGGAGTTCTTTGTTTTGAATTGCAGGTGCGGCATGGGAGTCATGAACTGATTTCGGAAGAATTACGGTCCTATGTAGATGGAGTTCCTCAGAGCTACAAGTTGCAGTTTGCTTCACAGAGTGGGATGCTCAAGATGTGGGGCCGTTGGCAGCTTCTATATGGCGCCACATGCTGATTTTTGAGGAGTAGATAAGCTGGCCGTTGACAGTAGACCATTTTGATGGACAAGACTCTGCTGGCAGATTCAGGTTGGCGCTTTGATTTTATGACCCGGCGTATGAGCAGACAGAGGAGTTTCAGCAGCTTCTTTCCCAACTAATTTGGGCTAAAAGCCTTCTGGGAATGCCATTCTACACATGATACAAAGTTTGATTCTCATAGAAGTTCTAACAGACTGTGAACCAGGCTGCCTTAATGTGTTTCTTCATTGGAAATAACCTTCACAGTAGCAGTCAAATCACGAGCAAGGTGCCAGAGTGTTTCATTTTCTTCTTGTGCCGCATTTTTGAGCACGTTTCAGTGGACAAAGCAGTGCCCGTAGGCTGGTTTTTACTTCACCAGTGCACCAGACAGCCATTCACACTTACTCAAGATTGAAAGAGTTCAAGTAGCGTACAAGGCAGACTGTGTGCAAGATTCAGCGGTATATATGCATCGAGGGGGCTGAGTTTTGAGTTATTAAGGAGGCTATTCACTGCTGTTTGGTTTGTACGGTATTCTGCTAACTCTTACTACGCTGTTAATAATGTGTGGTTACTCTCATATTACTCCTTTGTTGAATTGTGTTGATTATCATTCTGATTATGATGTGCTGCCGGGCTGAAAATCATTTTATTCTTTAACTTGCCCCTGTTATTTTTGTTTTAATCTTTTCTTTGACCTCGAGGGCGATGTCACCCCTAAGTGTGGGGAGGTTTGGTTTTAGCTTGGACATGACATTTGGTGATGAAATTATTCTGCCCAAGAACATTTTGAGGTGTACAAATTCTTTTTTCTGGTTTAGCAACGCAACAGAGGTAACTTGTTAATCTTTATTTTGTTTTGTAATTTTCCATCTCCTCCATCTTTCTTGGAAAGATTTAGTAATGGTGTAATCATCGGGGTGATGTGTATATTCTTGGAAATGTTGGCATGTTGGATGGTTTGATTTGTGTTGATTAAATTCGGTTTTACTCGTGATTCACTAGTCCGCTTCAATAATTGCTTGACTGGCCAGGTGTTGAAAATCCTTACTCCATAAGGAGCTCTTCTTTCTAAGCATATCGGGATAACTTCATGCTAAGTAGGTAACTGATTCTTGTAATGGGGTTACACTTCTTGTGTCGAGAATTTCATCCTCGAAATGGGGCTCTGCTCATCTCGCGAATCACCCTGTGTGAGAGTTGAGTACACAGTAATGAGATAAACTCCTAGGCCCTAGAGCTTGAATCAGTCCTGTAATCCAGAACCTGATCAACTTTTCATATTGAAAAAAAAAAAAGAATCACGAGTATTCCGAGTTTTATCACACAATTCTTGGGTTTTTGGAATGATTGGTGGTTTGGATTTCACACACCTGCATCGTTGGGACAATCATGCTTTTCTCTACATTTTAGTCGGTTGGAGAGGAATTTTACTTTTGAAAATATTGTTTAACATGTGAATCTTGGTTTCGTTGTTAAGAAAGAAAAGACCTTGTGCAGTCATTTGTTTTGGGTGTGAATGATTTTTGAACCAGGTGTTGCATGTGATTATTTATGTTTTCCGTGGGTTTACTGCACTGTTGCTTGGGGGCAAGCAACGCTCAAGTGTGGGGAGATTTGATAGGCTCGTTCCGTGCCTATCTTTTCAACCATATTTTGGGTGTTAACTGTCTAATTTTTATAATTAATCGGGTGACTATTGGGGATTTTGAGTAAAAATTTGCTATTTTTCGGTCCCGGTGGCATTCATATTCAGTATAGTATTTTTCTACACAATTTAACGTTTTTGGAGTAATTTGATTGTAAAGTTACATGTTATTAGCAAGTGTGGTGAGTTGTTATTGTATAGGCCGAGTTTGCGTGAATAATACATTATGTTTGGACTGGATCATTGGCGGTTTGCTTTAGAAGTTATCAAGTGCAATCCAAAGAAAAAAAAGGAACGAGCAGCCCAAAAAGTAAAAAAAAACCGCAGCACCGTTCTTTTTACTTGGCAGCAGCCGCACCAAGAGGGGGGATTTTGGTTCTTTTCTGTTTGGAGAAATTAGCAGGAGTAGTTTTGCTCAATTCGTTCTGCTCTGTCAATTCGCCGCACCAGCAGCAATCAAGAAGAAAGTAGCAGCAATTTTTCTTTTCTTCTTTACTCCTGGAATTAGCCGCAGCAGTAACAAAAGCTAAGGAACTTCTTTTTCATTCAATTTATTTCAATTCAATTTAGCTTTTGAGCAAGAATTGTAAGTGTTAGCAGTTTTTACATTACTAGTTCTTAATTTTGAAGTGAATTTCGAATCTATCTGTCTCAAATTAACAATTTAAGAATTTTCCATTTCAAACTCATAATTCCGTTTTTTTTGTTTCTAGTTCCTTTACCATGTTTATCAATGTTATTGTGATGTTAATTTTAATCATGAGTAACTAATTTCATATAGGGTTTGAATTGGGGCTAGGGTTCTTGAGGGCATGAATTCAGTTTTTCTGAAATTCAATTAATTTATGGAAAATTGTATAAGATTAATCATAATTGCCTATATGAATTTGATCACCTCATATATGGATTTCTGGATTTAATTCAACTCTTGTCTATGAGAAATTGAGTTAAATTAGCTCGGATCTTATACAAGCAATCTGATCTTAGAAATAAGTTAGGATTGTGATAATATGATTTTGCTCTTGTCTATGAGAAGTGATTTCATTTTCTGTCCAGGAATAATTGAATATTAATTTACTTGATTCTAATCCCGAAAGAACACCCAGAACCCGAACCATCCAATTTGAACCCTGTTTTTAATATCCTGAATCAATTTATTTTTTTTATTTATTTTTGCACTTGCTGTTAGTTAATTTTTTTTTTAATCACCCAAAAAAAAAATTATTCGGAAAGATTACCATGACTTGTGCTAGCCTGTGATCACAGATTGTATTTAAAACTTCCTTTTTGCCACTCCTTGAGAGACGATACTCGTGGTCTGGTTATTCTTCGGATTAGCCAACTACGTTTTACTCACTAAAAAATTACACCGATCAGTATGTAATGTAGGAGGTCGTCCACCCAGCACTAGGCGGTCAGTTGTAGGGGAAAGACGTTGACGGACGGTGAGGCTGCTATGCTTGAAGTTGTCATCTCCTCAATGCGTGCAATTCTTGAAATGTGTTCAGGCAGCCCCTGGGATAGCTTCGAGAGGATATCAACGTCCGAGTTTTTATTTCTCGGGACGCAGACCAACTCTGCCTGCTTGAACAGCCTGAGTAATTCCTGAACAACATCTCGGTACTTCATCATTCTTTCTTCCTTTGCTTCGAACTCGCCTTTAACCTGTGAGACGACCAACCGAGAGTCACATTTGACCGTTACCCATTCTGCTTCCATGGTGGCTGCCAGTCGTAGCCCGGACAATAGGGCCTCGTACTCCACCTCATTGTTGGAGACTTTGAAAAGATAACGGTAGGCATAGTAGGCCCGGAATCTCTCAGGGGAGATGAGGACGATTCCGCCCCCACATCCCTTTGCTCCGGCCAACCCGTCTATTTCTAAGGTCCACCACTGCTCATTGATCTCCTATTGTTTCTCTGTCACCTCTCGGGTCGTGCACTCCACGATGAAATCGGCCAAAGCTTGGCCCTTGATGGACGTCCGAGGCTGGAAGTCGACCTCATACTGACTGAGGAACATCGACCACTTCACCGCTCGCGCTGTGTTGGGCACCCTCAGAGCTGCACCTAGAGGTTGTTCTGACAGGATTCAGATTGGATGCGCCTGGAAGTAGTGTGTCAACTTCTTTGCGGTGATGTAAGCGGCATAGATCGTCTTCTCGAGCGGGATGTACCAGAGCTCGGCATTCTGGAGGGTTTTGCTTACATAGTAGACAGGACGTTGAACGCCTTCCTCCTCGCGAACCAACACGGAGCTGATCGCGCCTTGAGAAACCCCAAGGTACAGGATCAACGTCTCCCCCCTTTCTGGCTTGCTAAGTAGAGGCTCAGAGAGGAGGTATTTCTTCAAGTCTTCGAAGGCTCGCTGGCACTCATCAGTCCAGACGAAACCATTTTGCTTCTTTAGGACCTGGAAGAAAGGTAATGATTTCTCGACAGACTTCGACATGAAGCGCCCGAGGGCTGCTAGCCGACCGGTGAGAATCTGGACTTCTTTCACCGATCTCGGGGGTTCCATGTCAAGTATTGCCCTCACCTTCTCGGGATTTGGCTCAATCCCTCTCCGTGTGACCATGTATCCCAGGAACCTGCCTCCCTGGACAGCAAAAGTACACTTCTTTGGGTTCAGGCGCAGTCGGACTGCCTTCATGATCCCGAAAATCTCTGCCAAGTCATCTGCGTGGTCGGCCGCCCGGGTGCTCTTGACGATCATATCGTCGACGTATGCTTCCATGTTCCTTCCGAGCACCTTCCGGAATACTTTGGCCACCATCCTCGTGTACGTTGCCCCGGAATTCTTCAGCCCGAAGGCCATGACAAGATAGCAAAAAATTCCCTCCGGGGTAACGAACGAGGTCTTCTCCGTGTCGTCCTCATGCATAAAAATCTGGTGGTATCCTCGAAAGGCGTCCATGAAGCTAAGGAGCTCACACCCGGCCGTCCCATCGACTAGATGGTCGATGTTAGGCAATGAGAATGGATCCATAGGACACGCCTAGTTGAGGTCGGTGTAGTCGACGCGCATCCTCCTGGTCGGCGGCTTCGGGGCTAGGACCACGTTCGCCAGCCACACCGGGTATAGGACCTCCCGAATGTGTCCGATACTCAAGAGCATGTTCACCTCCTTCTTCACGAATTCCTTCCTCTCGATGGAGAGATGTCTTCTCTTCTGCTGAACGGGTTTCGTTGACGGGTCGACCGCCAACCGGTGGACAGCGATGCTTCGGTCGAGGCCGGGCATGTCCTCCGGCCCCATGCAAAGACAACTCTGAAGAGGATCAAGACCAGAATGATTTTTTCCCTCAAGGCGGCCGGGAGGCCGGTTCCAATCTTGATCTTCCGCTCTGGCTTCTCGGGGTCAATATGGATTTCCTCCACTTCCGAGGTGGGTTCAGCACGGAGCTGACCCTCCTCATACTTCATGGACTTGTTGTTGATAGTATGGACTCTCAAGTCCTTCTGGCCAATTTGCTTGCAAGCTTTTAGATAGCAGCTCCTAGCCATCCGCTGGTCTCCCCTAGCAACTCCGACACCATTCGGAGTGGGGAACTTCATGCACAGGTGCTCCTAGCATATCACACACCTCAGGTCCTCCAGGGCCGGCCTCCCCATGATGATCTTATGCGGACAAGTTAGGCGTACGACTATGAATTCGACGTTTAACTTGGACACGCAGGGCTCAGAGCCCACCATCACAGGGAGGACTATGTTGCCTTCCGACTCAATGGAGTCCCCAGTGAAGCCTGAGAGTGGGGTTCTTACCAGGATCAAGTCCTTCCTGTCCAGGCCGAGCCCCTGAAAGGTATCATAGTACATGATGTTAACGAAGCTCCCGTTGTCTACCAGGACCCGGTAGATGACAGTGTCGTTGATCTCGATCTTGATCATCAAGGTGTCCTGGTTATCTCCCCGATGTATAGGGCTCGAGCCCATTGCTTCCGCTCTCCCGAGGTATCACCTCTCTGGGGTCCCCCAAAGATGTATGAGCACCGATGGTGTTTACGAGAGCCATCCCCCAGGTCGACCTCATCATCCTCATAAAGGGCGCCGAGCCATCCCCCAAAGATTTTCTCTCTTGATAACCGTTTCAGGTGTTTAGCTGAATAAACCTTGAGGGGATAAGTCAGGCAAACACCATCACAAACAGTATAGGTTGAAGCTTCAAATCTTTTCTTTTGCGATTTGCCATCATTCACAATGAGGTTTGACAGCCTTAGCCTTAGGTTTCTCAGGCTTTCTAACCTCAGCTATAGAATGAGAAAACACAGATCTAGAGTCATTAGAAAAAGACTGAGAAGAATGGTGTGTGACAGAGCTGAATCTATGTTTGTCTGACAAGCAGCACTAGAACAAGACTTCTTATTTTCAACAAAATTCATTTTCTTCTTCCCTTCAGCTATTTCAGCTCTCTTCAGCCTTCACTCTCTTTTCCTCTCTAGTCTCCTACTCACTTCATTTTCTGTTTTCAAAGGAGACGTGGATTGAGTGGGTGGCCTTTTGAAAATGTTAGGTTTGTTCAGAATTTGTCGAGAAGAATCAGTATCACTAGATGATTGGGAAGCTGTGCCAGCTTGGGAACTTTCATTTAAAATGGTCAGTTCTCTCAACAACCTCTCCCTCTCACTTTCAAAACCTTTTCTCTCTTCTTCAAAACTTTTTCTTTGATTTTCTAAGGAAATGTGTAAGGTTTCAAATTTTCTGATTAGCGGAGGGATATAAGGTTCTTCTTCACTTGAACCTGAGGTTGAAGGAGGTTCAGGGTCTGACACAACTTCCTTCTCAGAAGGATAAAGACTAACATCTTCATCGTGTGAAAAAACAGGTTTGGCTGTTTCATAGCTTTTGTTTAGAGAGTCATAACTGAAAGGAATTTCGGCTTTAGAAGGATTTGATCGCTTTACCTCTTCTTCTTCTGCGGTTTCCTTTCCATAGGTAAAAGCCATCAACTTGGTTAATCCTTAGAAGGATTTGATCGCTTTACCTCGCTTTACCCCATGTACTTTATGTTGTAAAGTTGAAGACAATCAATCTTTTTCAAATTGTTGGGGTTAGAAAAACCAAGACCTTCTTTTGAGTTATAAAAACGAGTGTCCTTGTTTTGGTTCAAGAAAATTGTTTGTTCAGTCTGCCCTCGCTTGACCAGTAAATCTTCTAATTCTTTGATTTTTGTGTAAAGAGCACATCTTTGTTTGCGTAGAAAATCGTTTTCTGCTTTCGCAACGTTTCGTTCTAATTCTGTGTCACAAACCTTCTTAGTTAATTCAGCTATTTTCTGTGTAAGCTTATCTGCTTCTAGATTTTGTTTCTGAACTCTTTCTTTCTCATTTTCTAGTTGTAACTTCCGGGAGTGGCTTTTATCTAAAGTATCAAGTAATACTTTGTAGTTCTTATCTAACCTGTCTCTTAACTCCTTTATAATGTTATCCTTTTCTTGTGAGGAATGAACTTTGCAAGTACAGGAGCAAGAAGGCTTAGAGGCATCCATGGTTGATTGTTGAATGTTGACCGTAGACGTGAGGTTGATTGAAGTTTCTGCAAATTTTCGGAGCTTGAAGTGTAGCTTGGTGCTTGAGAAAAATAGCCTTAACCTTGAGATTTTTTTTTTTTTTTTTTTTTTTTTAAATCTCAAGGTTGACTCTTGGAAGCTTTGGTTGTAAGGTTCACCTTTGGTGTTGGAGTTTTGGACTTTGGAGTTTAAAGTGGCT